ATGTTTCTGGACAGATTTTTAAGCAGTGCTGTGAGGTTAAGGGGTGAGTGTTGTAATATATTAATGCCATGAGGTGTGTAATGGAGAAGATGTCTGGAAAATGAACAAGATGGTCTCATGGTTTGTCCCGGCTAACCTGAATTCTATTGCTTGAGACAAATAAATAATGACACTATTAAACTAGCACTCTTTCTATCTCCAGATGTGTGGTCGATAGTCCCAAAGAATTAAGCAATACCTGGTGAAAGCAACTATGTGTCCACAATTGAATCAAATGCCGTACGTGGTCAGAGAGAGCTGGACGTTCAAATGTGAGAAACCTTGCATTGGAGTTTAGAAGGAACTCAAAGTCATACACAATGAGGGACAAAAGCCCTGTGTGGACAGTGACAGGAACAACCCATATGCAGAACAGCCGGCAGTGAAGGAAACGAGGAGTATTCTGGAAGCTTAGGTGAAAGGCCTAGACAATAGGGCATGGCAAATAGCCCTGACCATGAACTAAGTAAAAGAGCAAGATAGACACACTGAGTCCTGAAGGTGCTCGGGCTGGCGACAATACTCCTCTTGTGCATTTATCTTAATTCTCTAGACTTCTTCAAGTTGGGCTGAAAGAGGAACAGACAAGACCAGACTAGATGGTCTCGGGAAGATTTCCCTGGGAAGGTCCTCTAAGTCCCATTGGCCTAGACTCAGCCATTCTCTTCCAGGGTCATGAGACACATTCTGTAAGTCTGACATAATGGATGTGTTTAATAATACTCGTTGGCCTTCTGGGGAAAGGGTTCAAAATACCTTAACCTTTCCTCTCTCAGGGATGGGCTGATCAAATATTTAAGGCTGTCCCCACTTCTACCCTTGGACATTGCTTAGGATGGGAATGCAGGAGAAATTCCCTTCTCAACCCTGGCCACATGGAGATGTTGGTTTCCTGAATAGACAAGTAGAACCCAGATATACTTATGGTAAATTAGATCAAGGTCCCAGGAATGGAAAGGGGCCTTGCAGCAGACACCTCCTTTAGTATTGGAACTTTGCAGGAAAGGAGAGTCATTCTGTCTGATGTCACTGGTTATTGGTGTCTCCCTGGACCTAAATGGTCCAGTATTGTTGCCGACACCTCTGCAGCTTTTTCCTAGAGGGAATGGTGACTTTGCAGTGGTTGGAAGAAGGGTTAGTATATGACAGAAAATGAAAACCAAGCTCATTCTGAAGTTTTTTCTACATCATCTTTTTATCAAAATATATTTATTTTATGTACATGGGTGTTTTGCCTGCAAAGGTCAGAAGAGGGAGTCCTATCCTCTGGAACTGGAGTTACAGGAGCCTGTGAGCCATGATGTGGGTGCTGGGATTTAAACCTGGGTCCTCTGGAAGAGCAGGATGTGCTCTTAATGCTGGGCCATCTCTTCAGCCCATACACCAAATCTTCAAGTACTGTTTTCAGTAATCTTACTTCTTGTGGAGGAATAGTTAAAATCACAACTGTAAAAAGAAGCACCACGTGGCTTTCTCCTGACTACGTTGGACAGAACTAAAATTTATATTCATTTAAGATACTTTGATCTCCCTTAAGATGAATGGTGCCGAGTGGTATTGGGACAAATGAATGAGAACACGGGCCTGGCAGTGGAAAGGAGAGAGGGCATCTTTGCCACTGCAAAATCAATGGCTCCTGTTCAGAAATGTCCCACTGTCATTTGAACACACAGAGCCATTCTGCGAGTCCCATGAGGGAATGAGAACTTCTCTGTCGCATTTGAATGCCTGCAGCACCTGTAGCCCATCACATGTTTTGAGGCTCTCTTGGTGAAAACTTTCATTACTCAGCACCCCATACCAGTGAAGTCAGGAAACATCCCTTACTTGGTTCTCCAGACAGTACTCCTTGGGAAAATATCCCATCCACCACCTGTGTCCCATGTCTTCATCCAAGACTACTACTAGTACCTTACACAGTGCCACCCAGTGCACAGCATGTGCTCATGGCATACTCAAGAGTCCCTTTACAACGTGAGGCCAGTGAGCTGGGTCACCCTGTAAAGGTACTTGCCCTATAAGTCTGGTGACCCGAGTTCAATCCCTGGAACCCATGGAAAGGGAGAAGGAGAAAAGCAACTCCACGAAGTTGTCCTCTGATCTCCACACATGCTCTGTGGTGCATGTGCATTCTCTGCCATCATGTAAATATACACACAATAATAGTAATAATAATTTTAAAAAAAGAACTGTCCTAGGCATCACAGAACTTTAAGTGGTAAAGGGTCCTAATCCATGCCTGCTCACTCCTAAGCATACTTACTTTCCATCTCCACTCAAGGAAGCAGCTAGACAAGGATCAGAGGAAGATTTCAAAGCCAGAGACTGAGAGTCACTTGACCCCAAACTCTTCCTTAACCCACTCTCTCGGATGCCCATTGTATGTCCCTGCCAGGCTTAGTCTTGACCTCCTATGACAATGGATGCAGAGACAGAGGGATGGGGCATCTGGCTCATCATCTGGCTTTTCTAGCTACAGTCTTATGGTTATAAAGAAGAATTCTGTGTGCTTATGCAAAAGGTTGGGGGTTTGACATCTGGCCCAGACAAAGATGAACACGATGGCCTTCAGAGGATGGTTGGGAGGAGAGGCCATTTTCTGCCCCATACTCATCTGGGGCTTGTTCTTTCAACTACCTCCATATCAGTCTCCAGCCTGTTTCATTCTGAAGAGCAACATGCTTTCAAGATTCAATTGCCTGGTGGTGTTTACCACTGTTTGTCACTCTCACAGAATTACCTCCAAGACCAGCTTTCAGGAAGAGGGATTCACTTAGGCTCAGGGGTTCAGAAATTTCATCAGTGGTCACTTGCTCCATTGCTTCTGGGCCTGCATATGGTGAGGCAGAGCACCATGGTTGAGGCGTGTAGGAGAGCAACATCATGGTAGAAACATGTGAGGGAGCAAAGTGGCTTACTTCAGGGCATATAGGAGGTAGAAAGAGGGGATGGGTGGAGACAAGATTTACTGTCCCAAGGCAAGCCCCTAGCAAGGAGCTCTCTCCCATAGGGCCCTTCTACATCTCTACTGTGCCTCAATAGTCTATTCAATTACTAAGCCTTCAACTGGCTAACCCATGGATCAGGTCAGAACCCTCATGATGGGATCACTTGCCCTAAATCTCACTTCTGAACAATGCACTGGGCATCATACATGAACCTTTGGCACATTTCAGATCCAAACCATAATATTGGCCCTTTCTTTACATTTCATACTTTGAATATGGCTCCCATTTTTTTTTGCACACTAATACATTTGTGTGATTGGCTTTTCACCATTATATCTGTCTACTGCCAATTATTTCATAGACTTAAAGAATCAG